TACATGTGATAATGTCTTAACTTTGTTTGTAAAGTTAAAAAATTACATTATCAATGTATAAAAAATGAACTCAATCATTTAACCTTTGAAAGTATAAGAGAAAAAGTAGTAGTCAAATTATGCTAAAAGTCTCTATATTTTGTGAAAACTTGAAATTTATTCCCAATACTGTAATTCATGTAAATTAATTCTTGTATTATTTTGATTTAATAATTTTAATCCAATCATTAACTCCGTTAATTTTTTTCATTAAAAATATTGACGTGAGCATTAACTTTGCATACATAGGTTTACTGATGTCGCATTGATTTTACTAATGTAGCATTGACTTACTAACGTAATAACTTAGATGATAAAATCAATTGTTAAATTCTACAAATGACTCTTATATTCACATGAAATTTGAAATTTGGTCTTTGTATTTTCATAAAATTTGAAATTTAGTCCATTTAACATAAAAAATATTTTGAATTTTTTTAAAAATTTTTTAGTTTTTTAAAATATTAAATTTACTTTTTAATATTTTAATATTTTAATTTCATTTTTTGAATTTTGAATTTTATAATATTTAGACATTTTCTAAAAATTTTCAATATTTTTAATATTTAGAAATTTTCTAATTTTTTAAAAATATTAAATTTAAATTTTTAATATTTTGAATTTTTAAATAAAAATTATTTTTTGAATTTTTTATGTTTTTAAAATTTTAGTATTTTTAATCAAAATATTTAATTTTTTGTTTTTAACATTTTACAATTATTATAAAATTTCCTATATTTTTTAATTTTTAGTTTTTTAGGAAATTTTTATTTTTTAATATTTAAATGAAAATAAATAAATAAACTATAAAGAAGACAAAGGTCTTTAGAATTTGTTCTGTTTGGTATATTTGATATGAAAGAGTATAAAAATCTAAGTAAAACATAGATATAGGGAAACACAAAGAGCTTTTGATTTCGATTTATTATTCACTTGAATAAGATAAAAAATTTAAAAATTTAAAATTTATAAACTTTTTTGAAACATAAAGTATTATAAAAATATTCTAGAAAACATAAAAATAAAAAAATATGGAAATTTTTATAAAATTCCCAAAAATAAAAAATAATAAAATTAAATATTTTGTTTAAATAAAAAATTTTAAATTTTAAAAAAATACAAAACTTTAAAAATGACATTAAAAAATTAAAATATTTAAAAAAATAATTTTAATATTTTTGAAAACCTAAAAAATTTCTAAAATATTTTTTATATTAATCTGACTAAATTTAAAGTTTGTGTAGATATAAGGACTAAATTTTCAAATTTTATATGAAAACAGAAATTATTTACATAATTTAATAACTAATTTCATCGTTCAAATTGTTACATTAGCAGGTCAACATCACGTTCACAAAGTCAACATTCATATCAACATTTTAATGGTAAAAATTGACAAAATTTGTGATTGAACTAAGATTATAAAATTAAAATTAAATTAAATTAAATTTATATAAATTATAATACATAGGCTACATTTTAAATTTTTGTAAAGTATAAGAGCCTCTGACATAACTTGTCTTAAAGTAGCAAAAAAGAAAACTTAATTAGAAATATTGAACATCCAAAATGAATAAGAGAATATCACTCTTGCATTGCTTTCGAACAAAATAAAGCATGAGATCAATATTGTCCTAAGCTATTAAAACAAGATAATAGGTATTGGGAAGTTGTATTGAGGAGACATCTAATTTGTAGGTTCATTTGACAAATATTTTTGGGAGAATTACAAATCGATGCGGTTCATTGAGAATTTAATAATTGCTCCTATGACTAGCAATATTTATTGAAAAGGAAATAACATGTCAGAAAATTGATTAAAAAAAAGGAAGTTTCATTTACTTTTTTACCCTGGCATCAATTATTTCATAAAGTTGTCATTTTCATAAAATTTATTATGCTTTTGAGTTTGATTTTTTTTTTTCATTCTACGGTCAATTATTATTGGTTTAACTTGTGGAATGTAATTATTTTTTAAAATTTTTTTTAAAAAAAATTACACCTTTAAGCAATAACTAGAGTTCAAACTTGAAATTTTTAATTTTGAAATTGACTCTAATATCATTGAACTAAAAATTTATTTGCAAAAAAATTACATGAATGAATTTATCTTCTTAAATACAAGGGATGCTATCCTTAAACATTATCAAAAACATGGATTTCATTGTCTAAGTTTTTTGAGTTATGAAATGTACATATATGCTCAATAATATATACATGTTGCTAAACTGATATGTATAGTATGCCTAATTATATCTACATTAACAAACTTGGTGGAGAAAAATTAATTATGCAAATTTAAATGTTTTTATAAGTATGTAGGATTTTACACATAACTTTATCTTTTAATATATATATATATATAATAGGAATCAACTTAATATATATAAATATATATGAATAAAAAAGGAATCAACTTATTTAGTGTAAAATTTTTTTATTAATTAGTGCAATAAAAAATTATTATTAAAAAAATCATAAATTTTAAAATTAATAAAATAATAAATTGATTTTACTATTTTGACCTTCGAAAAAATCAAAATTTATGGAACCCTAATTAAACATTTTATCTCTTAATATTATGAGAGATGATGAAAGAATTATCGGGTCTAATCAATATTTAAAAGCCAAAATTCCTAAAAGTTGTATAAGTAATACTATATAATTTTGTTAAAATCTAATATACTAATCGAAAAATTTTATTCTGATAAATAGATGGAGAGGTTTTTCAAAGAATTTAGTTTAGTTAAAACTATTATAAAATTTTAATAATCAATACCAAGAAAAAATTATTTATTAAAAAATATGAATCTTAAATTTATAAAAAAATTAAAATAATAAAATTAACTTTTTTTTTACTAATTTTAAAATTTTTTAATTTTTTAATAATAATTATTTTTCATTACACTAATTAATAAAAATTTCTAATAAAATTTCTTTATTTTTGTTATGTTTTAAAATTTTCAATATTTCACCTCTCATATATGGATTTATGAAAAATCATATCCGAAAAATTATTTCTAGAAAGGTATATGATTTTTTGAAAATTCATTTCATTAAAGGTACATGACTTGCCAAAAATTCATTTTTGAAAAGTTATAAAATTTACCAAAAATAGATATCCGCAAACTTATGAGAAAGAGTAATTAAGTAATTTTACTTAAAAAAAATTATAAAAAGAGGAGAGGTTTGAAGAGAAAAAAAGGATGCATTTAGCACCCCTCTTTGAAAATTTTAAAGACTATTTTATATTTTTAATAAATATTTGTATGCTAGTAGTAACTACTAAATATTCTTGGTTCACCACACTAATTTGTAATTCCCCCAATTTTTTTTTTTTTTTCACTTCAGCCGGTTATAATGGAAGTGCATGATATACTAGCAAAAGAAGAAAAATAGATAGGCAGGGCGGGAGCAACTCCAAATCTTCCCTCTCCCAAAAATGATCATAAAAGGATTTGGGTTGAAGAAAGAGGGATCAACGAGTTTTTGAGTTTCAAAAGAAGTTCCTTTTGCTTGATAACTTTCAATTTTAACATAAAGATCAGATTGCATAAAATCCACACAAAACTTTTCAACATTCTCAACTACTACCTCAGTAGCAATACAGTTAGTAAAATGGATTTTTCTCATTATCTTTTGCCAACAAGCAACTTAAGATAGAACTTGGAATTGATGAACTGAAAACAAACTCATTCCAACCTAATTACATCGCCAGTGAGTCAGGACCTGAATTCTCTTTTCAAACAAAAAATGAGCCCCTCTTTATAGATAAAAAGAAAACAAAAATTTTGATACTACATAGAAACCATGACACTTTCAGATTTTTGTTATTTTGGTGAAGTTTCATTGAGGTAAATTAATTATATGCCTATTTTGTTTTTTAATCAAGTTACATATTACAAAATAAAAATTACAAGTACAATCAAATATAGTCTATTTATCAAGTACTACATATATGAAAGAAAAATCAATAAAGAAACCAAACAAATAAATAAATTAAATTAAATCAACGTAAAGTTGGATTAAATCCTACACTCGGTGAGACTTACAAGATCATAACCAGATGATATTAAGACTTGAAGCAAGGGCTGCCGAAGCATAAGTTTCAATCTGCTTCGGACATTGAAATAATCTGTCCCATGCTGATACACTGAAAAGTTGAAATGAAAAATTAGGAGGTGATAAAAAATATGAGAAAAAGGGGAAAGCAACATAAATAATATCACCTCAATATCCTTTCATTAGTTCTCATTATTCAACTACAAACAAAATTTAGTCTATAAAATAGAATGTGACATAATAAGTATGATTAACAATTAAAAATTAAATTAAATTAAATTAAATTAAAAAAATAGATTATTACAACTTAAATTTTATTAGTTTTTGTTTTAGTTACACGTTATTTTATCAGTTTATTCAAAGCCAGTCAAATGTGATTGAAATTCTAACCAATATTAATATTTAATAAAATTAGCAAATAATTAAACCCGTTAATTTTACACACCTTAAAAAAATACAAAAATAAATATGAAAAATGACATTTTTTATAATATTGACAAAAACTATGTAGAAATAACAAAAAAAAAAGTATGCATTTAGTATTAATCCGAATTGTGACACAATAATTTTTTTATTTTACACGTGTTTTATAGCAAATAAACATAAAACAAATATATGAATTGTCAAATAACTAGAACAAAATAATCATAGAACAATTAAGAATTAATATATAATTACTAAAATTTTAAAAAACAAAGTCTGAAGCTGGAAAAAAAAAGTACCAAATTAGCTTTCACTTTTTTTTTTTTTAACATCGTATAAAGCAAAAATAATAATTGAAAAAAAAAGGGTAAGGAAGTGATATGTCAGTTGCTTAAATTTTGCTAAAAGATTGAATTTTAGCTTAACATGTTTAAGCGATGGAAGGTTCCTACATGCCTGAACCCGATTGAATCAAATCACACGTCCATCAATCCTAATCTTTCCAATGTGAGCAATATGTGGCCAGTCACACCAATATCCCTTTGGCATCTTTCCCATAGCTCGGGACAATCCTCAATCTGCAATTGTTGTAAAGAGGTGAGACAGCGCATCCCCTTTGGCATTGATGTCAAGTTAGTGCAACTTATAATGTACAGAAACCGAAGAGAAGTTAGGTTTTGCAGAAATTCCTCTGGCAGATAATCTAGATCTTCCATATCTTCAAGCAACATTTCTGTCGATTTGGAGGAAGGAGGGAAAAGTGAAGAACACGAAGAAGATGATGGTTCTTCTGATGTTGTCATCTTCAACTTCACTGTCTCTTGGAGTTGCTTCCAGCTGGTTTTTTCCAAATTCAGCTCTCTGACTGAAGGATATAGCGGCATAGAGGTTAGATGAGGGCACCAATATATTGTCAAATCTGAAAGGCAAGGAAAGCAAGGCAGCTGTGCATTTGAACCTTCATCAACATCACCCCTCCACCATCCCTTAAAATTTGGGCAAGCTAAGAGTTGGAGTTTCTTTAAGGATGGAAAAAATTTTGTTGATTTTGAAGAAGACAACTCCTTTTGCATTTCAATCTCAGAGACATTCTCCAAAACTTTTAATCCTGAATGCCTATGAAATTTGAGGGAAGAGAGCTGATGCAGTGCTGGCAGATGCTTGCATTCATCACAATCCTCTAAAATAAGTCAGAGTTAAATTGGTGATGGAAGACAGCCAGCTAGAAATCTTGCTTCCTGGATACCCATACACCACAAGCATCTCTAGATTTGGGTGTGGTTGGAGGCGTTCAAAAACCAATTCAGACTTCTCATTACTTGCATCATCATCCTCTTCCTCCCCCTCCTCATCCTCGTCATTACTCCAGCTCAATTTCAAGTGTTTCTAATTCAATTTTTCTTTCAAGTAAGAAATCTTGCTTCGTGAATATCCATACACCTCAAGCATCTCTAGATTTGGGTGTGGTTGGAGGCCGTGAAAAACCATTTCATACTTCTTATTACTCGCATCATCTACTCTATCCCAGATCGATTTTAAGGATTTCAAATTCAATTTTTCTTTCAAGTAAGAAGATCCAGGCTCTGGAATAGCATTTTGTAAAGAAAAAATACGTATTTTTCCTTAGAGGTTGTTCAGTCCATTCAATTCCCTTAACTCACCAACACCCTTGCCTCTCTTTCCCACAATAAACTCATTTAACGTTCGCAGACAAGTTAATTGCCCCAGTCCACGTGGCATGTAAGCCAAACTATCACAGCCATCAATATATAGATATCTGAGGCTATCTAACCTTGTTTTCCTCGGCAATTTTTCAAGATTGGAGCAACCAGAAAGACGTAATGTTTGCAAATTCTGTAGCCTACACAAAGAACTAGGCAGTTTTTTAATATTTCTATTTCCATTAAGATAAAGAGCCCTTAAATGTTTCAATTTGCCTATGTAATGTGGTAACCTCTCAATACCTACTTGACCCAAATTCAAAGAGCGTAGGTACATAAAATTAGACATAAGTGCATTGCAAGTGGATTTATTCAAGCAGCCATCCAGAATAAATATTGTCCTTAGTCTATTTGTTTTGAGCAAAGTGCTTGGAATTTTCCAAGAAGCATCTAATTCATCTTCAAATTATTGGTATAAGGTTCACATGTGAGTAAAGAATTCAACATCGTTAGGAAATTTAAATGAGATGTCCTATATATGCATAAAAGACCCAAAAACCTAATAGCTTAAGCTTTTGGACTCAAGTAGTATCCAACATTTATGTATAGGCTCTCTAATGTACTCCCATGGGCTCCAAGTATGATTTATCTCTCTAACAAGTGGTATCAAAGTGAGGGTTATTTTGAGACAACGATACAAAAATAGCCCAAGACAGAAATAACTTCTGTTTGAGATCATAGAAGGTGATACAGATTTTATGATAAAATTAACAGTATCAAATTATTCAATTTGAAAATCTATGATGAAAGATTATTTATACTGTAAAAATTTGTATGAGCCAGTATTAGGCGATTCGACTAAACTAGCAAATACGAAAGATGAAAGCTAGAGGAAGTTAGGTTGAAAAACATTGGCTACAATCAGAATATTGGTTGATATCAGCGTGTTCCATCATGCAGCAGGAGGCAAATGCCCACATTGTTTGAGAAAAATTGACAGCATTGTATGAGAGAAAAATAGGTATGATAAAGTTATGCTTGTTAAAAAGCTTGCAACTTTACAGTACATGAATGGACGATCGATTACAGAGCACTTGAGTGATTTTCAAGACATATTTAATCGAATGACTACTATGGAGCTTAAGATGGATGATGAAATGAAGGCATTATTTCTTTTAGGGTCATTATCAGATAGCTGGAATACTCTGGTTGTGACTGTTCTTAATTCAGCTCCTGATTATAAGATGACATTGGAGATGATAAATGACAGTATGCTTAATGAAGTAGCAATGCAAAAAGATGTAAACCCTGAGAATCAAGCTCTAGTTACAGAGAACAAGGGTAGAAACATCAGCAGAGGTTAGAACTCAAAAGGTCGTAGTAAATTTAAATATAGATCCAAGTCCAGAGATAAAGTGAAGTATTTCTATTGTGGTAAAACATGTTATATAAAACGATACTGTAAAATCTTGAAACAAGAGCGGAGATTGAGAAAGGCAAAGTTCGGATGATGGTAATGTTGAAGCAGTGAATTTAGATAGTGATTTAGTTATTTTGATTTGTACACATGATGATTGTAATCATGTTGGTGATCCCGGCATTGAGTGAATAATTGACACAAGAGCGACATATCATTGTGTTTCTAATAAAGAGTTGTTTATAACTTACAAAGCAAGAAATTTTGGTTGTACCAAGATGGAAAATAAGAATGTGTCACAGATTATTGGGATTGGTGATATTATTGTACAAACTAGTACAAGTTGCATGTTGATTTTGACGGATGTTAAACACATTCCGGATATGAGAATGAATTTTCTTGCTATTAATGTTCTTGATAAAAAGGGATATGAGAGTCGACAAAAGAATAGGTAGTGGAAGCTTCTCAAAAGATCTATGGTAGTTGCAAGGAGTAAATTATGCTACACAATGTATAAAACATACATACAATTGAACGGTAACTACGTAAATGCCATTGAGGATGATTCTTCAGCAAACTTATGGCATAAAAGGCTGGCACATATGAGCAAGAAGGGGTTACAAGTTTTGGCAAGATAGTCTCTCATTCTCTTGACCAAAGGTATGTCTCTCGATTCATGTGATTATTATTTATTTGATAAGCATCGTAAAGTTTCTTTTTGTAAGAGTTTTCAGAAAAAAAAAATTGATTGGAATTGATTTATTCTAAAGTATGTGGTCTATTGAAGTTGAGTCATTAGGTGGTAGCAAGTATTTTGTTACTTTTATTGATGATGCTTTATGTAAAACTTGAGTGTATATATTGAAAAATAAAAGTCAGGTATTGTAGTATTTTTAAAAATTTTATTCCATGGTAGAAAAAGATGATAAGATTGCCCTTGAAGTGTATTCGGATTGATAATGGTAGGGAATACACATCCAAAAACTTTGAAAAGTACTATTCAAAGCATGAAAACAAGCATGAGAGGACAGAACCTATAACACCGTAACATAATGGTATAGCTGAAAGGATGAACTGCACCATTGTAAAACAAGTAGATGCATGTTGAGGATGGTAAAATTACCAAAGCTATTCTGGGGTGAAGCAATCAATGTAGCTTGTTATTTGCTTAACAGATCACCATCAGTTCCTTTGAGCTTTGACATTCCAGAAAATAGTGTGGACAGAGAAAGATACTTCATACTCTCACTCGAAAGTTTCGGATGTAAAGTATTCATGTATATGCCAAAAGAGCAAAAGTCAAAGCTTGACATTAAAGCCATATAATATGTGTTTATAAAATATGGTGATGAGAAATTTGGCTACAGGATATGAGATCCAGTGAAGAGAAAGATAGTCAGAAGTAGAGATGTGATCTTTCATAAAAAAAAATCATAACAGACCTTGAGAAAAATGAAAAGACTACACAAGATACTGTTGAATGTGATGTTTCAACACTAACAAGGGTTCCACAGGAAAAAGCCATAGATGAAGAAAATGAGTAAGAAACAGAACTTAGGGATATGAATGAGCCAACCATAGTTAGTGATGGCCAGATGCATTAGTTTTGAATAGGAAGAGTAATTCTCTCTACTTAAAAGTGTTGAGCAGGGGGGAGCTACCTTCGATATCAGGTGATATAGAGTCTTAGCCTAGAAGATCTGTTAAAGAGCACAAACCATCTACCAGGTATTCAAGTTCAGATTTTATTTTAGTTATTAATGAATGGGAGCCAGAAAGCTTTCAAGACATGTAAATTACTTCGGATAAAGAATACTGATTAAAGCAATGAAAAGAAGATGGAGTCATTGTGAAAAAATGGTACTTATGATCTTGTTAAACTTTTGAAAGAGAAGAGATCGTTGAAAAATAAATGGGTGTTCAAGTTGAAAAAAGATGGTGACAAACTAGTGAGGTACAAAGCTCGATTGGTGGTAAAAAAGTTTTTCTCATAAACTAGGCATCGATTTTGATGAGATCTTCTCTTTAATTGTGAAAATGAGTTCCATTCGAGTGGTATTAGGATTAGCAGCTAGTTTGAATCTTAAGTTTGAGCAATTTGATGTTAAAACTATATTCTTACATGGTGACTTGCAAGAGAAAATTTATATGAATCAGCCTGAGATTTTTGAAGTGAAAGAAAAAGAACACTTAGTTTGCAAATTGAAAAAAAAACTTGTATGGTTTAAAAGAAGCTCCGCGATAATGGTACAAAAAGTTTGATTCTTTTACGGTGAGTCACAACTATAAAAGAATGACAACGGATCCTTGTGTGTATGTCAAAAAATTCTTTGATGGTAACTTCATTATTCTCTTATTATATGTTAATGATATATTGATTGTGGAATAAGATGCCAGTATGGTTTACAGGTTGAAAGAACAATTGTCTAAGTCCTTTGATATGAAAGATTTGAGTCCAGCAAAGCATATTCTCAGTATGGACATTATCCAGGACAAGAGAGTTAGAAAGCTATGGTTGTCACAAGAAAAGTATGTTGAACAAGTGCTTAATAGATTCAACATGCAATATGCTAAATCAGTTAACAGTCTACTTGCCAACTATTTTCATTTGAGTAAAAAATCTTATTCGATGTCTAAGAAATAGCAACTAGCTATGTCTAATATTCTTTATTTTTTTGCAGTTGATTTTTTAATGTATCTTATGATTTGTACACGGCTTGACATTGCTCATGCAATTGGTATAGCAAGTAGATTTCTTTCTAATATGGGAAAAGTTTAGTAGGAAGCAGTGAAATGAATTTTTAGATATTTGAAGGGCACCTCAAAAATATGCTTGAGTTATGGAGTTTTACAACTAATTCTAAAAGGGTTTATTAATGCTGATATGATAGGTGATCTTGATGATAAGAAATTTACTTCAAGATATTTATTCACTTTTATAAGAGAAACTATATCTTAGCAGTCTAAGTTACAAAAATATGATGCTTTATCAACTGCAGAGGCTGAGTATATTGTAACAATCGAAGTAGGTAAATAAATGCTTTGGAGGAAATATTTTCTTCTTGAATTGGAGTTGAATCAGAAAGAGTATATGATATTTTGTAATAGCTAAAGTGTTTTAAATTTGAGTAAGAATATCATGTACCATGCTAGAACAAAGTATATTGATGTTAGATATCATTGGTTACGTTCAGTGATTGAGAAACAATAGATGTTATTGAAGAAAGTCCATACTGATGAGAATATAACAAATATGTTGACTAAGATACTTCCTAGAGAGAAGCTTGACCTCTACAGTAACTTTGTTGGAATGAATTTCTTGACCAAGGTAAATTTCAAATGAAACTACTATGGTGATGAATCTCTTCCTAAAGAGATTGAAGGAAGAGATTGTTAGGAAAATAAGGTCCAGCCCCATATAATTAGTTTTGGACCAATCAAAGGCCTTAGGCCTTGGTCTTTCTTTTTACACAGTACCCTAGCTACTTAATAAAAAAAATGTGGGGTTAAAATAGTGTTACAAACCAAGAAGAGGAAGAATAAAGCCCAAAAAAAAATAAGAGAAAAAAAAGAATGGAAAGTTGGTTGAATGGAAGTTGGTCCCTAGTGCAATTGAGCTAAAAATTTGTCAGCAGGTTTATGATTCAAAGTTCTACATTCTGAACAGTAAAGATTAAGTTTGAAGCTCTCTATGAACAAATCTAAGATGTACTTGTTGAGTCACTTATTTGATGAGATTTTTATATAAAAAAAAAAACTTAATATAAAATATTAGACACCCAAAATGAAGAAGAGAATATGACTCCTATAACGCTTTCAGACAAAAGAAAGCATGAGATCAATATTGTCCTAACGTATTAAAACAATGAATGTGTATTAAGACATTCAATTTGCAGTTTCATTTGATAATTTTTACTTTTTTTCTTTCAAATGGGCATGTTGGAAGTGCTTGATACTCCAAAAAATAAACCAAAATAAAAAGGCAGGGCAGAAGCAACTCCAAATCTTCCCTTTCGGTCAAAAATGATGAGGATTTGTCTTGTATGGATCTTAGCTGTGGGTTGAAGAATGAGGGATCAATTGAGTTTCAAAAGAAATTCCTTTTGCTAGGCTGCTTTCAATTGACATAAAATTCTGATTGCATAAAATCCACGCAGAACTTTTCAATATTCCCAACTACTGCCTCCATTGGAATGTAGTAAAATGGATTGTTCTTTATTATCTTTTCATGAGCAAGCAACTTAAGATGAAACATGGAATTCATAAATATAAAACAAATTCTTTCACATCTAATTACATCACCAATTCAAAAAGTTTCGAATATTTCAATACTACTTACATATTAGGACACTTTTTTTTTTTGTATTTTTAATTTAATTACATATTACAAAATAAAAATTACAAATGCAATCAAATAACACTCAAATGTATTTCAAATAGTACCTGTATGAAAGAAAAACCAATAAGCACACCAAACAAACAAATTAATCAAACAAAACTAATAATAAGTTGGATTAAATCCTCATTTGGCGGCACTTACGGCATCAGAATTGGATGATAGTATTTCTTGAATTCAAGTGCAGCTGAAGCATCAAGTTTCACTCTGTTCTAAGCCTTGACATAATCTGTCCCAAATTGATACACTGAAAAATTGAAATGAAAAATTAGGAGGCGATCAAAAAATGAGATAGGAAGGAAAACAAAATAAATAATATCTCTTCAATATCATTTCATTCGTTCCCATTAATCAACAACTACAAATAAATTTCAATATTTGAAATAGTACGTGACATAATAAGTAAGAATAAGAATTAAAAAATAAATTATTCCAACTTCTTTTTTGTTAGCTTTTATTTTATGATACATAATTTTATCATTTTATTCAAGCCAATCAAAGGTGATTGAAATTCTAATCAATATTAATATCTAATAAAATAAGCAAATAATTGGATCCAATAAATTTGGACTTGAAACGAAAATGATGAAAATAATTTTTTAAAAATGGTACGAATTAAAATATTAAAAAAACTTGAATGAAGATTTGACAGAAAATCAAAAACAAATATATATTTGTGTTTGTTCAACAATTTTTTTATTTTATATGTGTTTGATACTAAATAGGTACAAAAATACATAAATTACTAGATCTATAAATAATGGAGCAAAATAATAAGGGTACAATTAAGAATTAATATAAAATTATTAAAATTTTGGAAAACAAAGTCTTTGGCCGGAAAAAAGTAAGATGAGCTCCATCAATTTATACATTACCAAAATTATCTCTCAATTTTTTTTTTTAATTTTAACAAAACGAAAAGCAAGAAAAATAATTTAAAGAACAAAAAAAAAATATAGTAAGGAAGTGATATGTCCACTGCTTAAATTTAGCTAAAAAAATGAATTTTAGCAAAAGATTTAAGTTTAGTATAACCTGTGTAAGCGATGGAAGGTTCCTAAATGCGTGAACCCGATTTGATCAAATCACACGTCCATCAATACAAATATTTTCAATGTGAGCAATATTTGGCCAGTCCACACCAATATCCCTTTGGCATCTTTCCGATAGCTGGGGACATCCCCAAATACTCAATTCTTGTAAAGAGGTGAGAAAGTGCATCCCCTTTGGCATTGATGTCAAGTTACTGCAACTTGCAATGTACAGAGACCAAAGAGAAGTTAGGTTTTGTAGAAACTCCTCTGGCAGAGAATCTAGTTCTTCGATATCTACAAACCACATTTTTGTCAATTTGGAGAAAGGAGGGAAAAGTGAAGAAGATGATGGTTCTTCTGATGTTGTCATCTTCAATTTCATTGTCTCTTGAAGTTGCTTCCAGCTGGTTTCATTCAAATGCAGCTCCCGAACAGAAGGAAACAGCGGCATAGAGGTTAGATTAGGGCACCATCGTATTGTCAAATCTGAAAGGCAAGGGAAGTAAGGCAGCTGTGCGTTTGAAGCTTCATCAACATCACCGCTCCACCATCCCTTAAGATTTGGGCAATTCATGAGGTTGAGTTCCTCTAAGGATGGAAAAAATTTTGTTGATTTTGAAGAAGACAACTCCTTTTGCATTTCAATCTCAGACACATTCTCCAAAACTTTTAATCCTGAAAGCCTAAGAAATTTCAGGGAAGCGAGCTGATGCAGTGGTGGCAGATGCTTGCATTCAACACAATCCTCTAAAATAAGTCGAGTTAAATTGGTGATGGAGGACAGCCAGCTACAAATCTTGCTTCCTGGATACCCATACACCACAAGCATCTCTAGATTTGGTGTGGCTCGAGGCCTTCAAAAACCAATTCAGACTTCTCATTACTTGCATCATCCTCCTCCTCCTCCTCATCATCATCATCATTCTCCTCATTTCTCCAGCTCAATTTCAAGTGTTTCAAATTCAATTTTTCTTTCAAGTAAGAAGACCCAGGCTCTGGAATAGCATTTTTTAAAGAAGAAATACGTATTTTTCCTTTGAGGTTGTTCAGTCCATTCAATTCCCTTAACTCACCAACACCCTTGCCTCTCTTTCCCACAATAAACTCATTTAATGTTCGCAGACAAGTTAGTAGCCCTAGTCCACGTGGCATGTAAGCCAAACTACCACAACCATCAATATATAGATATCTGAGGCTAACTAACCTTCTTGTTTCCTCGGCAATTTTCAAGATCCGAGCAACCAGAAAGACGTAATGTTTGCAAATTCTGTAGCCTACACAAAGAACTAGGCAGTTTTTTAAGATTTTCATTTCCAATAAGATAAAGACCCCTTAAATGTTTCAATTTGCCTATGGAATGCGGTAACCTCTCAATACCTGAGAAACTCAAATTCAAAGAGCGTAGGTACCTAAAATTAGAAATAAGTGCATTGCAAATGGATTGATTCAAGCTGCCATCCGGAAGAAATATTGTCCTTAGTTTCTTTGCTTTGTGCAAAGTGCTTAGAATTTTCCAAGAAGCATCTAATTCATCTTCAAATAACACATGGCGAGTTCTTTCATCTGCATTTTCTGCTTCTAGACTTGCAATGCAGTACTCAGTCCCAGCAACAGAGCATGCAAGATCATGCATTAGATCGTGCATTGTGAATCTCTTCACATTTCCCGAATCATCTTCTTCTGCAACCTGAAAAAAAGATTTCCAAAGCAAATCCATGAAATACTCATGCCCAACATCTTCTAGATCTTGGTCTCCACTTAGTGGCTGGATAAACCCTTGGGCCATCCAATACATGATCAAATCCTCAACCCAAAACTCAGTGTCCTTCAGAATTAAAGAGCAATAAGCAAAACATTGCCTCAAATGTGGTGGAAGATGATCATAACTCAACTTTAAAACTGGCATAATACCACTTTCTTGTTGAGTTATATACTTAACTATATTATTCTTCACCTTTACCCATTCAGCTTCTGTTCTTGTAAATAGTACACTTCCTATCGCCCTTAAGGCAAGAGGGACCCCTTTACACTTCTCTACAATCTCCATTCCAATTGCTTCAAAGTGTGAACCATTAGATTCGTGGCTTTGTTCTTTAAATGCCATTTGCTTCAGTAGTGACCATGATTGGCTTTTTGACAATCCTTCAAGCTCATGTGGTAAAACTGTGCTTGTGATTTCTGCAACCAGCCCACTACGAGTAGTGATAACAATCCAACTTCCCCTTGCACCACCTAATAGCAAATTTCTCAAATTGAGCCACTTTTCACGGACCTCATTCCATACATCATCTAGGACTAGCAAGTACTTCTTTCCATTAATGTTGTCTCGAAGAATATTTTGCAGTGTTTCCATCTGGAGGTCCCTTTCAGGTTTGCTTCCAGTTGCAGCCTCAATGATTTTTTCCACAATGAGTTTTAGCTCAAACTTCTCTGAGACACAAACCCACAATTTTAGCTGGAAATGTTCTCCAACATTTTTATCGTTGAACACCATTTTAGCTAATGTAGTCTTTCCTAATCCTCCAATCCCTATTATGGGAACAACTGAAACATTTTCTTCGAGTTCGGATTGTAGCAACAGTTTTACAATTTTCTTTTTATCATCATCTCTTCCAATTATTTCTTCTTCACGCACAAAGGAATAAGTTTGATCCCTCTCCTTAACTTCAAGCAGTGACTCTACCGGGCTGTCGGTAAAGTGAAATTTGGTTCTATCAGCTGCAATTTTATCTAGCCTCTTTCTAATGGCACTAACTCTATGACCCATCTTGAGACTATATGCAAGCTGGTTTGATTTGGAGAAGAAAACGCGTACCTTTTTAACCATTTCATTCCGCCTCAGTATCTGTCGCCGCAAAGCTTCAGTGGAAAAATCGTCGAGCAAGTCATCCACGTCGTAAAGCACATCTTTGAGCTGTCCGAGCCAGACCGTCACTTCATGGTTGTGGTTTCTTTGTTTCTCCTCAGCATCACGAAGCACACCTTTGATCAAGGAACAAGTGTCTTTGAGCTTGGTGATTTCTGCTTTGACACGCCAGGGCAAACCAAGTTCTTGGTGAGCCAATGATGCCAGACCCACCAAGATTCGTTCAGCAAAATTGAACAGGAAGCCTTCTGCCATTTCTAGATTTCTTCCTTCGCAGCAGGAAACACTAATCTCAATAGTTGGTTTTCTTTTTTTTTCTTTTTTTTTAAGAAATTTCAGATGGCTTTGAAAGAAAGTGATCGAAGATACCTGGCAAGGCAAAGTCTGAGTCAACTCCAAGTCTGAATGGTAAAAGTCTTTAAGTTTATGATGCAAGATGTGCCACATGGGTATGGGATTATTAAAAAAAATTACAAATAAAAGTAATGGAGGATAGTATGTACAGTCAACGGTCAAAAAAATAAAACAAAATTTTAATGGCTTGGGCCTGGGGTGAAAATTTTTGTGGCCAAAGATGGAGAAAGATATATGGAATATATATTATATTATATAATATAAATATATGGCATATCTCTCTTACAAAAACTAGTGGTTGGAGCCTTATCGGTTAAGATTAAGATTTTATCCGAGTTTGATTGATTTATATCAAACATTATTATTTTGTAGGTTTTTTTTTTAATTTGTATTTCACATGAGCTTTCTTCTTAAACGACTTTGATTTTTTTTTTTTAGGTTTTTTGGATATTTATTTTTGTTTAATTTTTTAAAATTAATATAGTTGAATTATTTGATATTTTGATTAATATTTTCAAAGTTTCAATTGGAAATTAGGAGTTTAAATTTTAAATTTATTTTTTTAATTTAAATTTGTTATATATTTGTTAAATACATATACTTTTTTCACATTGATTATATTATGTTACATATTTTAATTTTTTTAAGTATGAAATTATCTTATTTGTTAAATATATATACTTTTTTCATATTTATTATATTGTCTTACATATTTTAATTTTTTAAGTATAAAATTATTTTATTTGCCAAAAAAATGAAATTATTTATAATAGAACTTTATTATTTATCATATAATAGATTAAATTTTTAAATATTTACATTTTAAATATTTTTATTGATTCAATAATTGATTTATTGATTCAATTGCATCAGTAATCTAATAATATATCAATTTGAATAATTCATTATTCAATCTGATTTTGATAATTATGCTAATAAATATAGTTTTGCTAGCATTTGAAATTAAAATTCAACATAAATTGATAAACACTCTTTTATCTTGTGATAATAATTTTGGACAAATTATTCACGATAAAAATTTTGTAGTTAGCACCGAAACTTAATTCATTGTGATGTTCTATACTTCTTTTTAATAAGATTATATCTAAATAAATTTTAAAATTTTGAATCGTGAATATTTATAAATTTTTTATATGTATTACTTAGATCAACAACCTTTTTTTTATTTAAAAGAAAATCATAGTTAGAATATCGTTACTCTTTCATGTTTTTGTATATAGATTTAATCCCAAATATCTTTGGAAACAAATAATAATTAAGAAAAAAATAAAAATATTTATACATCATCGTAACAATGAAAAATGATAATTATTTATTAAACTATAACTTTTGAGCCAAAAAAAAATGTGCGGTCATACTTTTCCCAATATTTTTTATCTTTCAAAAATTTTTACCTAATTATTTACTTATTTATTTGTTTTTTTCTCATTCAATTATTGAGCATTAATTTTGACGAAATCATCCATTTTTAACAAAACAATATATTAAATTTGTTGAAGTTAATAGAATATTAATTAAATCTAGTTTTTAAGTTTTATTTTTGTATTTACAAATCAAATTTACAATGTTAAGTTGAGATTGAATATTGCCAACTCGATAAATTTTGTCAAGACAACATTTACCTTTTCCCTTCTATCTTTCTTTTCAATTTCATGTTTTTTTCAAATTCGAGATAAAATATAATTATTAATTTTTATTAGTAATTTTGTGAATAATATTTTCTATTCAATGAATATTTGTTTTCATTCATGCCAATATTAATTATTCTTACTCCATTGCCCTTATTCATAACTTATTATTATCAAATAAGTGTGGTGGAATTAGCATCAAGGATGATGGAAGTGAAAATATCTACCATTTGAAACATTAACACTATATCTGAATTGAGGGGAAAAGAGAGAAAAGGAAAATAAAAGAAAATAATGGAACGAGAAAAAAAATTTTATTTGGATAAATTTTAATTTAAAGGAAAGAAAAGAGATAAAAACTTAATAATTTTTAGTTTTTTTTTAATACCTCAATTTGAGAAAAAAGTTAAGAAAAGGAAAGTTGAAAAAAATTTTATTTTTATAAAAAAATTATTATATTTATATTTTTATTATGACATTACTTTTTAATTATATAATTGACACTTCCTACAAAAATAATTTTTATTAGTATTTTATATGACACCATAGTTTATAAATATTTTATAATTTTTCAAGTTTTAACAATAAAAGAAGTTAAATTATTGTCAGAATAAATTAAAAAATTGAATTAAACACAAAATTAAGAGTAAATCAATAACTAACTAATATATTTTACCATATTAAACACGCTCAATTTTGTTTAGAAAGATTTATTTATACAAGCTAGGTAGTATAAAGATATATTTGTATTTATAAAAAAAAGTTATAATTAAAAAATATTATAATGAATTATTTTCTTTCCTTTTCATTATTTATCAAAATAATAATTGTTAGAATTATTTTTTTTCTTTATTAATTTTCATTGTCCAAACAAAATATACGTATACCTTTTTTTTTCTTTTAAAAAACTTTTATTTTCTTTCTTTACCTTTCATTTATTAATATCTATCAAAAAATAACATAACTAAAATATTTACTCAAATCGAAACTAAAATTTTCTTTTCTTTAAACTTTGATGGCTATAGTAGAGAATATCATATTTTCCTAAGCAAATAAGCACTCGTTAGAAAGGGAAACAAAGTAAGCAAAGGAAGCCCAAATGGAGTAACCATCGCCACCAGGAGCAAACCCAGTTTACCAAAGGAATTATATAAAAGAGCTAGTGACGTTCACCTTCCACTTTTACCTCAATGGAACTCTTGAATGGGATATTGGGCTCTTAAGACAATTTTGCTTCTCTCTCGTCAATCACCAATCAATCCACCCCATCTCCCATGAAAATTGTTCTTTTTATTCAGCTTTTTTTTTCAATTACATGTCCTGGGATTCTTTTTTTTTTAATAATAACAAATTCCCTAATAGTCTTTTAAAAACCTTTATAAATACAGTTAGCGCTGGCCTTATAAGAAATCATAAGATTTAGATCACTTCAAGGGTCATCTAAGTGTAGCAAATTGGCATCATTTTGTCAATGCAGTGGCTTGAAGTTGAAAGAATAATGGTTTGGTTTTGTTCATGAAAAACGATCCGAATTAGTTGGAGTATGTCTTTCTAATGATGATGATTTTATTTATTCCAATTGTATCTTCATAGTTAATGTGTTTATCTAATTGTTGTATTTCATCAGATTTTGAGAAGTGTCAATTTTGAACTTCATGTTCAATAGCCTTTCTTCACTCAACTAAAAGGTATTATTCTTTTCCAAAAATATTTATGCTAATGATTATGCTTCTATTTCATACTTTTTTTTTTGGGTTTGTGTATAAAAAATTATTACGTTCTTTATTTCTTATCTTAGTAGTTTTCCTTCTCCAATAACTAAGTTGAGACAAGGGAAATTGAACTTAAGATCTACCTTTTCTAGTAAAGGCGAAGCCATGGTTTCACTATTTGCTCTATTTTTTTATTTAGAAATAATATCTTGTCATCTACACATTTTCCTTTATATTCTATTCAAGTAAATATTTTTCTTTTTATTGTTTGTAAATGGTCTCAAAACAATAGAGGCTATTGGTGACTATAACAAGTATGCCTTACCTTTAGGCATATGTACAAATCTGGTATTGTTTGATCTTTTCTGGTATTTGCTTCGCTTCTATCTAAGAAAACCATGAGAAAATTCTGGGAAAAAAAAGGAAAAGAAAAGAAAAAAAGAGGTGGAAATATAATTTTTTTTATAAAACATTGCTAGTATAATATTCAATAACATTTTTTTTTTTAGTTTGTCAGGTGGGGTTTAAGGGCTTAAACATTTATCAAAGTGTTTTTCTTGCTTAGTTAATTTATGTTAAATAGTTGAGTATATTTAATAAGCTTTCTTCTATATTTTTTTGCTCAGTGCTTTGATCATAATTATATCTGGAGATTTGATCCTTTTTAATAAATGCTCGATACTTAAGGTTCAAGTAATAACAGGTGTTTTTCTAATTATCCATGCTTTTTTTATCTTTCTCTTAACCATCTAGTTTCTTTGAACATTTTCATTTGGTAGGATGTTCATCATTATGCTTCATTCTTTGAGATGTTGGAAGTAGAGAGTCTTACAACAGTGTTTTCTGGAGTTAAAAACATAGATGGAGATAATAATTCTGTATGTTGTAGTCTAAGCTTTGTTATATGTGAAGTTCAAACTTTATGTAGTATCGGTGGCAATTGTTTATGTTTGTGATTCCATGTTATAAATTTTTTCCTTTACATTTATTTTGTCTTAAAAGATCAATAAAATTTAAACCTTTGGACAAATCAAAACTTTTTAAAGGGTTTTATTCATCATACTTAGGCACCATGCAAATTTTTGCTCTTTCAGGCACTTAAGTTTACATAAAGTTTTATTCAGAAGAAAAGGAAATGACCAATGGTGTGTTGTAACAGTTTTGGGAACGTCAGATGTAAAAATGAGAGTTTAAAAATCGAGGAAAATAAATAAAAAGGGGAGTCGCCACCAATCTTTGTTAGGGTGTGATTGGTCACCCAAAAGTTTATCTTTTTAATAAAACTATAAAAACAAGTTTAAAGTTTATCAAAAAGATAAATTTTGGTCTGCGAAAAATCAGGTTGGGTTCGGGAGTCGGTTACGCGTGGAAAAAGATTAGCACCCCCACAACGCCCATAAATTGGTACCATTTAATTATGCGCTATTTTCGACGTTGGATAAAAATAGTTTTAATTTGAAATTTAACACTAATTCCTTTCATTTTAAAAAAAAATTTTGCTAAAATTTTTATTTAGAAATATTGAAAAAATCTTTAAGTTAAAGAATTATCTTAAAATTCTCCAATATCTAGTCAGAATTTAAAATGACTCTTTTCGCTTAAGATTTAACACAATAATTCTTAAAATGAAATAACAATCTTTATAGAAAATAATTGTTAGTTACTCTCCAACATCTAAGCAGAGTACCAAGAATTATTTCTTTCGGAATGTTATTTTTATTTTATTTTATAATATCACAATTTTTTTTTAAAGTATTATTCTTTTTTTATTATAAGATATTTTATCATCAAACAGCATATTAAAGAGAGAATAATGCAATCAATTATCGATGATAACAT